AATCCAGCAATTACACCTTGTACAGCACCTCCTGGATACTATGGTGGATCATACCTGCCATCATTCAACCAAGGCCAAATGGGGTATCCTTTTCCTTGTATACCAGTGCCTGGGAATTACAATGTACCATTTCCCGGATATGGTGGACCATACATACAACCATTCTCTGGACCACCACAGCCATGTCCGAGCATTCCATATGCATATGGCCCTTATCCCGGAATGTTCCCACCTGGATACATGGTACCACCACAGGTATACCCCGAACCAGGCATGTATGGAGGGCCACCAATGCCATCACCATTGACCCAATCACAAAATGGAGGAGCTGTACAAAGTTCTACTATGTCCCCTATTGAAATTCCAGGCAACAACCAGGACCAGGAACAAAGAGATGGTTCATCACTGATGAGACCTGGAGATGCCAGCAGCTGTACATCTGGTCTGCCTGCAACACCACACCATCAGCAGCAGATGTCCACAGTTCCCAGAAAGTGTCCACCAGGTTTTCCACAAATACCGAGTGGTGAAATGTCACCTGCTGGTATGCAGTGGAATACCTTGGTGTCACAAGCAGGTGTCAATGTTCCTGGACTTTCCCACACAGACGACATAGAGGACAAAGACCAAACAGAAGGCAGATCTGTTGAGTTATGGCCTCTGAGTAGTGAGTATTCAACTGCTAGTTGCCAAACAACTCCAGATACTGATACAATACCCAAGTGCAAACAAACCCTGGATTTGACTTCAGATACACAGCCTCCTTGGAGTGATGTTTTGCCTGAGCATAGCAATGAAATAGTTGTGAATGCTCAGACAATTAACAATTTACAGGAGCCCTCCTACCAAGAGCTGGTTACAGACCAAAAGGAAACAGCAACCTCTTCAATATATACACCACCAATCCATGATGAGGAATTCAAGAGTAAAAAGGAGATTGGTGAAGAAGTGCTGAATGCTGATTCGGAAACGTTGTCTGTACCAGCAACAGCTGTGTATCACGACACTACTGAAAGTGACTGCAAAGATGGCACAACCAGGTTTACTTGGAATGCTGCCAACAAAGACTTTCCTCTCACATATAGAGAATGCTTTGTTGTTTTCCACTTTGTAAACCATGGGCTGGGCATTCCATCTGGGCTGCCACTGGAGAACAAATGTTGGGCTGTGCCATGGCTCACTGAGATTATGTAGATCATTTGCTATAAAATCCCTGAAATACTTTTACCCAGTGTTTACTTATTGAGTTCTATTACTTAGTGTTATTTCTATTTAGTTTGACGTAGTTGGTTTTATTTAGATAAAAAGCTAATCAAGGATAGAGTATATTCCTCAATTTTCAAAAGGAAAGTTAAGAGTTAATCTACATTTTATGTCAATCAAGATTAGTCATCTAATAATTTTTAGTATTAATTCAGTACTTTAGTACTTTTAATCGGTAGATTGTAGTTTTAATAACATTACCGCGGTAGTTTTTTTTACCGCAATCTTACCTTATTCGGCTTTAATTAACTAACATTTAAACTACACATAGAATTGGTGATTAACTCTGGTAGTAGATCTTAGTTAATTAATTTACATGTAGTACATTCTAACATTAATTTTGCACTGTGTATAGTTATATGTATTAGTGATTAGTAGAGAAACTAATGGACTTGTCAGCACAATAGTACTTGAATGCTTTAAGTCTTTAATACACTAGAATAGTTATGCACAATCTACATCAGATAAGTTCTAATATTACTACATTTATAACTGAAAACAGTTAGCTATTATTACTTAACTCTTATTTTGAAAATAAAAGGGAGGGGAAATAGTGTAGATTATAGAGTGTAGATCTTTATAGTGCTATAATTGTTAAATTTTATATAATCATTAGTTGCAGCAATCTAATAGTTAGTACCAAGTGCATGTGTAACATTTTAACAATAGATTTATAGTAACTAATTTGTACCTATTGTCAGTAATAATTGGGCACAGTGATGATTATCAGTCACTCACATTATAAGTAATATCTATTACAACTAAGGGTATTCAGTTATTTATCATTGCCAGTGTAAATGTTATTAGTTATAATTTAAGACCCATATACTTATATTTTGCACAAAGCCACAGTTAAACTAGTCTATAACTATTAGTAAGCTACTCAGCAATGCTCTATACACTTATGGCATACAATATGCAAAGTAGTGAAATATACTAACGGTTCACTTATAAGTAAGCTTTTGGTGGTACTTTTACATTTATAGCATTTGAGATTTTAGTTAGATGAATTAGCAACATGACCAAGTAATTTATATTATTTAAGAATATCTTAGTTGTGCACTTCCAAATAAACAGTGAACATTTATAGCTATTGCTCACACAAATCAGATTAAATGTTGATTACAAGTATGTATTGTAGTCACATAGTAAAACTCTTTCAATTGTTAGGGAATTCTCAGGCTTTTAAGTTTAATTAGTATATTTAGGCCAAATCTGGGTAAAGCATATTCAGGCAGTATAAGTCATAAATTTGCAGTGATCTACTCTGTTGCATGTCTTTGACCCAGTTCCTAAGGATGGCCAGGAATACTTAAACCAGGACTGGTGTGAACATGCAACATAAGCTTTCCGTTGGATATACCTGGCTGATATTTTTCAGTGATGGTATATTATGGCAGATCGCCTAGTATAAAGAGTATTATGCTTTCCGTTTGATACCTAGCTGACCATTCTCAGTGACGGTATTAGGGCGGATTGCTTTACATGCTTTGTTTATAGTTATATGTCATAATGTAGTTATTATTAAGACCAAGTACATTTTACGTATCATACCTGGCTTACTAATTTTAGAAAGTGACGGTATTGATGCGGCATGTGTTTTGTAAATATGTTTCCAGTTGTTATATTTCAAAGTTAGGTTATTTCTAGTTAGGAATATAGGATATATACATTCTTCAGTTAATTTAGTACATAGGCTAGGAAATAAGATAATACATTTTTGTAAGTAAGTTTAAGTTAAGGCTTAAAGTTAGTATAGTTGTACAGTATTATGCATCGTAGTTAAGGTGACGACACACATCAAAGTATAATAATCAAAATATAATGTTATTATCAGTATACATTACAACAGTAGAGTAAATTTCATATTATCTATATATCTGTTGTAAGGTTCTAACATAGACTGCACTCCTGCACAATTTAAGTAGGCAAATCTGCAGTTGTATACATGATTAAGTAATTATATATATTAACCTTGGTGCAACTGAATCTCACTAGACTAAACCATGTGTCATAACATCATTCGGTTTCAGGACTTTCATGGAAGTAGGTCAATGTTAGGTCATAGGTCAGTAGTATTCTTTTTGATTAGTATAAATTTATTACTGTTTAAACCCACTAGATTCAAAATAGATAATATGGAATGCGTATGACTAAAACATGATCATTATAGATCCAATGTGGAGGATACAAGTTGATTATCATGATTCGCAAATCAAACCATATACAATCTTGCCACATACATTATATAAATAGTGCACGTTTTTGAGGGTAACAGTTGAAATTGACACCCCAAGGAAAACCATTGTCAACCGACGCATCAGCGGAGGTTGACAATGGTTTTCCGAGGGGTGTCAATTTCAACTGTTACCCTCAAAAACGTGCACTATTTATTTTATTATACTGAATGTCCTATTGATTTCGGATGTCATAAAAAAAATTCGGAGATCGTCGTTAAGTTCACGCTTAGAAAGCTTTCAAACTCCCCGCTTCTATTTTTCTCAATAAGAAAGTTTCGGAAAAGATTTACCAACCTCTTTATTGTTTGTTCGCTACTTAAAAAGTCCTTTATCATCTAAAGAATGCACTTGCAAGGATGTTTCGTCTGTCGTTTGTTGTTTTCAAGTAAGCTACATCGGACGCAAGCTTTTATTGACGTCGTTTATTCGGCTTCTTTCAAACGCACAACCGACGTTTTGAGAATTCTACGGTGAACCGTACGCGCATGATTTGAACGCATGTGATATTTTCGTAATGTTACCCGTTGTCAAGTGTGTTGCTAACGCTGAGGGTAACATTACGGATTATTAAATGCGTCTAAACCAATCAGATTTTAGTATTTAACATGAAAGTATAATAAACATGTTTATCCTGCAGAACAAAGGCGCTAGAAGTAATTCGTGCCAAGTTCATGTGGATACATGAATTAGTTCATACGTTTTCCATGTCATATTGAATAATAATCATAAAGTTTGGGTTTGCATTCCTCTTAGTAAATTACAGCATTTGCCCCTAGCTTTATTAAATAAAACGGGGAGGAATGTAGTGAAAATACATATGTAAATATATCTCCTATGACCTTTCACCCTGACCTCATAGCCACCCACCCGTGCCGGCACGCTTCCCTCGTCAGTCGAGTCCTGCCAGTCTACCTATTCACCACGTTACCTGTTCTTATATGTGTTGCATATGTACCCGTGTTTATTCATCATGTAAACCTGGGTGTTCCGTCGTCACCTTATACTAAGGTAGGCGACATTATTAGGAAAACCCCCTATATTTTATTACAGTACAATGAGAAGCAATCATACTTATCCACGCCTCGACGCACACAAGGTGGTGTACAGTTACTCAAACAATGGAAATGCATCTTTTGCTTAAAATTATTCAAATGCTGCAATGTTAGAACTATTTTTGATTTCAGTTTTTGTTTTGATAGCCCATAGTACATATATGAATAGTCAATTACTTGCGACTTTTTGTCTATTTCTTACAAAAAGCATTTTTCTGAAAAACTGCACATAAATAGCTTTATCAAGCTATTTTGAATAGCTTAATAAAGCTATATAGCATATAGCTAAATCAAGAGATTGTGCTGGACCTGACTAAGGTAAAAAAAAAAAAAATACATCTCAGCTGACTGTCCGACATCATCTGATCATGATTGTAATTTGTGGATAAAAATTATACAATACTCTTTCTCTTTTTTTATGTAAAGCTATACTTATTTTACTTACTTCATATGACTTAAAGAAACTGCTGTAATACTAAGAAAGGTGAAATTTCACATCTTTCCAACATGAATGACTGTCACTCAAGATTTTCCTTGTCAGTCATTGTCATCCCGATCCCGATAAGGTAATCACACAGTTCGTCCTAGCAACAGTTCGGCCCTACTTGAATGATGAGTCTGTTCTCCAACAGGCATACCGTCAGTTGTCAATAATGAATGACAGCATAGCCCCCAAAATAATTATATATTCTATATTTAATAGGAAAAATCAACTTCATTGCTTGGAGCAGAAATATAAATTGTCACTGTTTAGGCCATCTTTAAAAAAAATGTTTGTTTGCCCTTTCCCGACGGTTGCAACTGTGTAAAAATGGACTCAAAACTTTTTTTTTAACCTCCAGGAAACATTTTTTTAACCCCCCCCCCCCTCAAATCTTGCCTAAAAGTATGTCGAAAATTTCCGGAAAAAAAAAATTCCCACCAACCTACCGACCCTATGGCATGTCAAAAGTTGCAATATTCGATCTTTTTTAGTTGTAATTGTATATAATTTTCCATTTATATTCTATAAATTTCCATTTGTATTGTACAATTTTCCATTTGTATTGTATAATGTATATTTGTATTCTATAATTTTTGCATTTGTATTGTATAATTTTTATTTGTATTATGTAATTTTTCATTTGTATTGTATAATTTTTATTTGTATTCTATACTTTTTCTATGTATTGTATATTTTTTTTCAATTGTATTGCATAATTTTCCATTTGTATCGTATAATTTTACAATACAAATGGAAAAGTATACAATACAAAGGAAAATTATACATATACAAATGAGAAATTGTACAATACAAAAATGAAAAATTATACAATACAAAATAATGTAAAATTATACAATTGAAAATATACAATACAAATGAAAAATTATAGAATTAAAATTATACAATACCAACAAAAAAATTATAGAATACAAATGAAAAATTATACAATACAAATAAAAAATATTAGAATACAAATAAAAATTATACAATACAAATAAGAAATATACAATACAAATGGAAAAGTATACAAATGGAAAAATATAGAATGCAAATAAAAATTATATAATACAAATTAAAAATTATTCAATACAAATGAAAAATATACAATACAAATGGAGAATTGTAGAATACACATAAAAATACAAGGGAAATGAAAAATTATAGAAAACAAATGGAAAATTTTACAATAAAAATGGAAAATCATAAAATACAAATGGAAATATCGAATATTGCAACGTTTGACATGCCGACCCAATGTTTTATTTGAGTCGGGAGAGGGCAATAAAGTGATTTTGTAGAACGAAAAAAACTTGTTCCAAATATTTTTTTATGTTAATCCTAATGTTATCAAATTTCATGACCTGTGAAATTGTAAGGACACTAAAGTCATTTTTGGACTTGCCAAATTTTCCAAAATTTTATTGTCAGTAAGAAATTAAAAATAAAAACTACTGTGTAACATACCCTCAATTGGTATTTTGTAATACATGTAGATTTATTTTTTACTAGCAGAGGTCTTCTATACTTTAATGTTTTGAACTATATATGTATACATATAATAATTAACATTAGTACCACTCATTCATGCATTCATGCTTATGTGTAATTTTGTTTTATCATTTGTATTCATACACCCAAGTTGGGGTCTTTGTCTTAAATAAAACTTGAAAACTTGAAAGCTACGTCAACATGTGATAAACTAAACAAAACTTCTAGTTTGGTAAAAATTACTAATTTAAAAAATCATCATCAATTTCGACGCATATATATCGTGATACACACATTGAATATGAATTATTGAATAAAAGATTTCACTATATAATCATTAGAGCCAAGCCCCCCCCCCCCCCAGGCAGTACCCCTCACCCTGTGGCCACGAATTTCACAATTTTGGAAAGGACACCCTTGATCATCATAACCATGCACTTAGATTGTCTGCTTGATACACAGGGGGAGAAAAGAAGATTTTTTAAAGAATTTATGCATTTTCACTTAATGATTAATAGAGCCCCACCTTTACTCCAGAAACCCTTCCCCTGGGGCCATGGATTTCACAATTTTGGTAGAGGGCTCAATGCTTATTACAATCATACCACTGTTTGACTGCTTGATGTCCAGGAGTAGAGAAGGAGAATATTAAAGATAGCACTAATTTTGATGATTTTAGCCCCGCCCCAAAGGCCCCAGGAAGACATGGACCATGATACTGATAATTTTCGTTCCCCTTCACTCATAAATGTTCTATGCCAAAATTGGTTAAAATTGGTTCAGCGGTTCCAGAGTAGAAGCTGAAAATGTTCAAATGTTAATGCACAACAAATAGCAATTGGTCACGAGTGACTCAGGTGACATAACAAACGGAAAAAATTAAAATGGCTGCCTGAAAGTACATGGGAACTTTAAGAAATATGAAAAGATTGAAATAAAGGCTGCACTCTATAAAATACTGAGTCACAACAAAAAAGATAGAAGTCAGTATGCTGAGCAATACAGAAAAAGGCTAATATCAAGTACAGATCTAGAAGATCAGAGGACTCTACACAACAACACAAAAATGTGACAAGGTTTTCAGTTGAAGCTCGAGAATGGCAACATCTCTTCATCATCGACTTCTGCACTATTGCCCAATAGAAAAGACCCTAAAAACGCGACAAAAATTTAAAGGGAACAACCAGGAGAAGTAGATTTAGATTGTTCAGAAATAATGTTAACAAAGGATGAGATCAGAAGATCTGTTTGAAAACTGAAGAAAAAAACAGTAAGGTAAGATAACATCACGGCTGAAACAATGAAAGAAAGATAAGAAAGTCTTCTTAAATCTTCTTAGTTTTATTATTATTCCATAGTTTAAGTCTTCGCCGCACTCTTTTTAACAAGATCAGGGAGGAAGATAATGTGTCTAAACGGCAAAAAGAAGTGGAATTCTTAAGGAGGGATTCTTGTCTGGTTTCTGACTAGATGAAGTATATTTGCTTATATGTCTTATACATGTATATTTAGATGTAAGGGATTCAAAAGATCATATTTTTCTTTTCTCAACATAATCGTAAAACTTTAAATAAAGATGGTAAACTGAGTTTGAAATCTAGCAGGGACTATATTTTTGGCGGAACGGCGGCGTATGAAAATATTCTCCCTTTCTACTTCTCAAAATTTCTATAGAACAATGTATTTAATTAAAATTTTTAAACAATCAAAGACTTAAAGAGAATTTCAAATGTAAGTAAAATTAATAATAATGGACTGAAGTTTAAAAATATATCAAATAAATATGAGTTCCCAAACAAACTAAAATTTTATTAACTTTTAAAAGCTTCCAATCTGTAAGTACAGATTTGAGCAAAAAATCCGTAAAAAGTGTTTTTTTTTTTCTCTCTCTCTTAGTAAACGGTCAACACTTTTTGTTTTTGTATCAATTTGTATCTTTATATGACTACTTTACCATATGTGAAAATAAGAAAAAATTAAATATACGAAGCATATAAAAATAACTAATATATCCTAAAAAATCATAGAAAAAATAGAGGAAATTCGGATTAGCCAATATCTATTTTAGTTAAATTATTTACATCAATTTGATAGTATCATCTAATAGACCCTATATGGTAATATCTTTTTATGCAAAAAGAAAAACATTTAATTTTTTTGAAATAGAAGTAGGCATCGCATGATTGACAACAGTATTTTTTTTATTCTTACGGTCAAGGAAAAAGATAATGACCTTGACCTGACCTTGCTTTTAAAATAAAACGGTCAAATTTAATCTAATTGATACCCTCCTTGAATCTGTAATGGTAAAGGGACATTTAAATAAACGCACTGAAGACCTCAAATAATGGAATGACCTGACTTCCCTTGGCATAGACTAGCCCAAGGGTATATAAAGCGAAGCTTTGGGGAAGTCTGGCATTCAGAAGTTAGCTGAAGAAGCCGACAGCTGAATCAGAAGCGGCAAAAGAGTAATTAAATAAAGAAGTAGTAAGGGTAAGAATAGAAGCCATAGAATAGAAGCACCAGTGGTAAGTAATCCTAGGGAATTGATGTTAAGTTCTGGGTGTAGGAAATCTGAAGAAGATTGATACACCCAGTTCTTTCCTATCAATAGGAACCTTGGAGGAGAAACACGGTGCAAGAATCATACCCAGTCCCCGTCTCTAGATAAGAGGAAAAATTTGTTTAATACTGTGTAATTTACCCTCAGATAGAGCGGTTTTATTAATCATTGCAATTATATACTCAGACAGAGTAAGAGGAAAACTTGGTATATATCCCTTGTAAGAACCCAATCATACACGTTACATTTTGGTGGCAGCGGTGGGATAGAGTACAAGGCGTTTTCTGATTAAATTTTAATTGTTGTCTGATTTACTTTGTATTAAAATTTTTAGCATTTGTGATAGTATTGACACCAGTACAGTGAACAAGTGATACCGGGTGCTTCAGAATTAGTATATTGACACCAGGTGCTGTGAACTCAGTATAGTGTTACACAGTATTGTGAAATCAAGTGGCGATACCTGGTGCTATTGACACCTGGTGTTGGGAACTCGGTGCAGTGTTACCAAGTGCTGTAAAGCCAAGTAGTGATACCAGGTGTTGTGTACCAAGTGTAGTGGTACCAAGTATATTGTAGTTGGGTGTAGGGTATTAAATTTATCAATACTGGGCATTTTTAGAATTAGAATATTTAGAATTAGTATAGTTCTTGTGATAATTGAACGAGTATGGACAATATAGAAGCTGAGCTGTACGCTGATCTCAGTGCAATTGATGCTAGAAGAGAAAAACTGAGAGAAACATTAGATAGGCTGAAGTCAACGCCCCAGACTACAAGGTCAAATGTAGTTCCAGACTCCGGGGTAGATGTTAGAGACAAACTATTAGAAAATAGTTTATATGAATTGACATCAAAATCGTCCAGTAACCGTGGCACGGAGGGTGCAACCAATATGAGGGACACCTTTGATCATGTTGATTACCCTCAATCAGGTTACGCACTGTATGGAGAGGATGAGCATAGGGGCATGAGAGGAGACAGTAAAGCCAG